AGAATATCCATTACCTCTGCATTCCAGTATAATGGACAAGAATCCTGATTCTTAAATGGGCAGCAAGTTGTGGTTGTGGTGAAGCGCCACGCGTGTTGTGAGTGTCTGGACGTGTCCTCATCTTTCTTCCTCTTGTCTTTCACGCAGGATTATGTGTTTTACCTGGACCCCGATCGTGTGGAGTCAGGCAAAGGCAAATGTGCTTACGACCCCAAACTGGATAGTGTGTCTGCGCTCATCAGTAAGTGACAACTTTCTATTCCCATCTTGGATTGTAGGATGAGATGGTGTAAATCCTTTCCTTGCTCGTTTCCCATATCTCCTCTCCGGCCAAAACATACTTTCGTTTCTGAGCTCCTACAAGGCTGCAGGTCTGGTGGGATGTTTCTGTCCACACCACCAAAATACATTCTGAACCTCAAAATGTTATTCAGAATATTTAACCCCTTAGGACCAAAATGATTCTTTGGCAAATATGTTTTAAGTGGTAGTAATTCATTATTTCCAGTCCTCGGGAACAGTGTCCTTCTTCTACCCTTGACACCTAGAGATAAATGATGGCTCATACGATGCTATTTGAACCACTTGCCCCTAGGTGGACCTTATGTGACGTTGCCAGGTGTAAAGTGCTTGTGCCGGCAGCTGCAGGCTGATATCCCAATTTTACATTTTTCAGCCGGCAATGCTGTAGAAGTGATTATTATACAGCCATTCATTCACTTCTATAAGCGCCCACCTTTCCCAGGCTCTCTCTTCCCATCGGGGAGCCCAGGGCCACACCGACTGGTGGCACCAGCTTCAATACACAGAGAGGAACTGGCGTTGTTCGTCCCCCTCTGTGAGATCAGAGACCAGACGCGACAAGGAATTCGTCACTTCTGGTTTTCAGTTCTTTGCTTACTGGCCGGTTACCAGCCGGTGAAGCAGCTGATTAGACCGAGCTGTGATTGGCTGTATTGGAGGCCAGAAAAGAGGTCTGGGGTCTGATAGACCCCAGATATTTCCATAAAGAGGACCTGTCACGGCTCATGCTATCACAAGTGATGTTGTTCAAAGCCTTGTGATAGCAATAAAGTTGATCACACCCACATGGAAGAAAAATATATTTGAAATATATTTTACAAAAATATTCTTCCCAAATATATTGACATTTATTTGAAATACTACAATTTTGGCCATTTCAAAATATATATAATATATAGTATATATATATATATATTTATACTGCATGTTTAAATGCATTTTTTTATTACAAAATATATAGAAAATATTTTTAAAAATACATTTTCAAGTATGCTGTGTCTTTAAAAATACAATCAAAATTTTTGGAATGCATTTTCAAATATATGTAAAAATATATGTTAAAATGACTTTTTTATATATAAAAAAAAAAAACCTGAAGAATATATATTAAAAATATATATTTTTTCATATATTTTGTAATATATAAAAAATGCATTTCAACATGCAGTATCTCTCTCTCTCTCTCCCCTCCCCCCCCCTCTCTCTCTCTCTCTCTCTCTCTATATATATATATATATAACTATATGGGACTTGTAGGCACTCGTTCACAGAACTCTGTACGTAGCACATTCCTGAACTCTGCACTCTGTACTACTCCTAGAACACTTCTGAACTCTGCACATAGCACACTCCTCAACTCTGCACTCTGTATGTAGCACACTACTGAACTCTGCACTCTGTACGTAGAACACTTCTGAACTCTGCACATAGTACACTCCTCAACTTTGCACTCTTTACGTTGAACACTTCTGAACTCTGCACTCTGTATGTAGCACACTCCTTAACTCTGTCTCTGTATGTAGCACACTCCTTAGCTCTGCACTCTGTATGTAGCACACTACTGAACTCTGCACTCTGTACATAGAACACTTTTGAACTCTGCCCGTAGCACACTCCTTAACTCTGCACTCTGTATGTAGAACACTACTGAACTCTGCACTCTGTACGTAGCACAGTACTGAACTCTGAACTCTGTACATAGACACTACTGAACTCTGCACTCTATAGGTAGCACACTTCTGAACTCTGCACTCTGTATGTAGCACACTACTGAACTCTGCACTCTGTACGTAGCACAGTACTGAACTCTGAACTCTGTACATAGCACACTACTGAACTCTGCACTCTATAGGTAGCACACTTCTGAACTCTGCACTCTGTACATAGAACACTACTGAACTCTGCATTCTGTAGGCAGCACACTTCTGAATTCTACACTCTGTACATAACACACTTCTGAACTCTGCACTCTGTACATAGCACACTACTGAACTCTGCACTCTGTAGGTAGCACACTTCTGAATTCTATACTCTGTTCATAACACACTTCTGAACTCTGCACTCCATATGTAGCACACTACTGAACTCTGTATTCTGTACGTAGAACACTTCTGAACTCTGCACTCTGTACGTAGCACGCTACTGAACTCTACACTTTGTACGTAGCACACTACTGAACTCTGCACCCTGAACATAGCACAATCCTGAACTCTGCACTGTGTATGTGGAACACTCCTGAACTCTACACTCTGTACGTAGCACACTACTGAACTCTGCACTCTGTACGTAGCACACTCCTGAACTCTGCACTCTATACGTAGCACACTACCTGAACTCTGCACTCTGTACATAGCACACTCCTGAACTCTACACTCTGTACGTAGCACACTACTGAACTCTGCACTCTATACGTAGCACACTACTGAACTCTGCACTCTGTACATAGCACACTCCTGAACTCTGCACTCTGTACGTAGCACACTCCTGAACTCTGCACCCTTTGAGGACAACCATAATGCTGATGCATCCCGCAATGAAATTGAGTTTGACACTCCTGCTCTAGGTGAACGATTCCTAACACGATGTTGAATGCAATACTCCAGCATGTTTAACGTACATTAAACAGCTCTTCCACTGAGCACACCATCCCTTCATATGGTCATTTTTATATTTTGTAAGGACTTGTGCACACAAGTTTTTGGCTATGCCTGCTTCAGTCAACGAGGGTGCAAAAGCAGCACCAAGCAGGAGCATGTCTGAAGGATCTCAGAAGCTTCCTAAACTGACCTCAAATGCAAACCCCAAAATATGTTGCATCTACACAACACCTCCTAGTGTTCAATTAGAATGTCCCCAGTGACACCAGATTACAGGAACTTCCAGAGGTTGTACATAACCAGCATGGGTATTTATTGATGCCTGTTGATCATACAGATGGGATTGAAGCAGGGCCCCATTACCAGTCCATTGCTTCGCTCATACTACCCACATAGACATATAATGTTTGGTTGGTGAAGTGACGGGTTAATGTACAGACACAGCTTAGGAGCAGCTGTGGGTTCTGAAGAGGAGGTCCATCTGGAGTAATAGACAAGACTGCCAGAACTCATTCCTGCTAATCCGCCTCCCCCCCCCCCAATGAGAGCCCTCCCTTTACCCTCCACCTGAGGGGCTTTTGTTACAATCTAAGGTCGAGACTCTCTAATTAATCAGGAGCAGCTGTTGGGCCAAGTGCCAGCCAGATAACTGTCGGTCAAAGCATTCGCTGATGAGCAGAGCTGAGCTCGCTATTTCACTGCTCTGATCCGGCCAAGTCTAACTTTTCATGACCGTATCTAAACATGACCCAACAGTTGTGGCCTGCAGATGTGTTTTGGGTTCCTTGACCTTAGACCATAACCTCTGACCTCCTTCTACAGACGAGGAACTCTACTCTGGTGTCTACATCGACTTCATGGGCACCGATGCGGCAGTTTTCAGAGCAATGGGCAAGAAGGGCCGCCATGAGAACTGACCAGTATAACTCCCGGTGGCTTAATGGTGAGTTCCTACCTCATGCGAGGACACTACGAGTCTCCGGTGTGACCAGGTGATGGGTGATGTATAGAGTCCGGCTTCTGGTCGTTCCATCAAAGCCCTTTGTTTTTCCTGTTGTAGACCCCGCTTTTGTCCACGTACAGCTGATTCCGGACAGCGCAGAGCGAAATGATGATAAACTGTATTTCTTCTTCCGGGAAAAGTCCACAGATGCTCCTCACAGCCCCACCATCCATTCCCGTATCGGGCGCGTCTGCTTGGTGAGTAAGAAGGCATCTACTGGTGAGATCTGGAGGACCTCTGCTGACTGATACAGGCGTACCTCGGTGTACCAACGCCTCGGTCAACGTCATTTTTGGTTTACGAATGAAAATCCATTGAATACTGTATAATGCTTCGGTTTACAAATATTTTTCGCAATACGAAGTGAGTTTCCCCAGGATGCCTGAGTGCCAGTGGAGGGATTGGCATAGGACATCAATGGAGGCCAGTGCCTTTAAGAGTGCACTTTAGTGGAAGAGTGGATTGGCAGAGAGGGATGGAGGACAATGAATTGAGGCCAGTGGAGCGATTGGCAGAGAGGGGTGGGGGACACTGAGTGGAGGCCAGTGGAGGGATTGTCAGAGAGGGGGTGGAAGACACTGAATGGAGGCCAGTGGAGGGATTGGCAGAGAGGGGGTGGAGGACACTGAGTGGAGGCCAGGGAGGGATTGGCAGAGAGGGGTGGAGGACACTGGTGGAGGCCAGTGGAGGGATTGTCAGAGAGGGTGGAGACACTGAATGGAGGCCAGTGGAGGGATTGGCAGAGAGGGATGGAGGACACTGAGTGGAGGCCAGTGGAGGGATTGGCAGAGAGGGATGGAGGACACTGAGTGGAGGCCAGTGGAGGGATTGGCAGAGAGGGGTGGAGGACACTGAGTGGAGGCCAGTGGAGTGGATTGGCAGAGAGGGGTGGAGGACACCAGTGGAGGGATTGGCAGAGAGGGGTGGAGGACACTGAGTGGAGGCCAGTGGAGGGATTGTCAGAGAGGGGTGGAAGACACTGAATGGAGGCCAGTGGAGGGATTGGCAGAGAGGGGTGGAGGGCACTGAGTGGAGGCCAGTGGAGTGGATTGGCAGAGAGGGATGGAGGACAATGAATGGAGGCCAGTGGAGGAATGGCAGAGAGGGGTGGAGGGGCACTGAGTGGAGGCCAGTGGAGTGGATTGGCAGAGAGGGGATGGAGGACAATGAATGGAGGCCAGTGAGGGATGGCAGGAGGGGTGGAGAGGCCAGTGGAGTGGATTGGCAGAGAGGGATGGAGGACAATGAATGGAGGCCAGTGGAGGGATTGGCAGAGAGGGGTGGAGGACACTGAGTGGAGGCCAGTGGAGGGATTGGCAGAGAGGGGTGGAGGACAATGAATGGAGGCCAGTGGAGGGATTGTCAGAGAGGGGTGGAGGAAGTGGAGGGGTGGCAGAGAGGGGTGGAGGACACTGAGTGGAGGCCAGTGGAGGGATTGGCAGAGAGGGGTGGAGGGCACTGAGTGGAGGCCAGTGGTGGGATTGGCAGAGAGGGGTGGACTGGAAGGGGGTGAAAGTGTCCGGACTGGAAGTGGTTAATCAGTGTTTTTTGTTTTTCGGCTGATAAAAAAACACCGGAACTAGTGGTTTTCTAGAGGAGTTTTTTTTAGCTGTCAAAACGCTCTAATGCTGAAAAATGTGGTAAAATGCGGCAAACTTTTTTTTGGACTTTTTGTGAGCAAAAAAAATATTTTTTGGGGGGTAAAAAAAAAAATTGCTAAAAAATGTAAACGCAAATGCAAAAAAACCCAGTAAAACGCCGCTAAATGCTAATCTAAAAAACGCTGAAAAACTCACGTTTTCAACACGACTTTACCAGCGTTAATAAAATGCCCCCCCAGTGTGCAGGGAGCCTAAATCTGAAGATCTGCGAATACTTTGTATCTGTGTCACGGAATATGCAGAAAATGTGAGAATCCTGCGATGACACGAATATCTTTGTTACGTTGTAACATCTGCTTCCTCCTCTCCCCGCCCCTCCCACACACTATGGTGCCCCACATTACCTTGGCTGCCCCGCCCATCACCATTCACACGCCAACACGATGTCGCAAAGAATCCTTCTTCCTCCTGCCAAATGGTGTCTATATTCCTCCAAAATCAATTTTCTTCACTCATTTCACACTTCACACCCAATATGGCGTACGTGCGTTCAGTTGTCAGACGAAGCCCCTCCCCCCCTCCGTGGTTAATACACTGAAATGGACTTTCGGGGGAGCGTCTGACAACTGACGCTTTCTAGAACAGGGGCCGGAGCCCGGTAAAGTCTTCCAAAAATGTGAGTTTTTCAGCTTTTTTTAGTTGTGTTTTCCCGCGTTTGCGTTTTTAACATTGTTTACCAAAAAAAAATTTTTTTTTGGAGGTCAAAAAAAAGTCCAAAAACACCAGTTTGCTGCGTTTTTCCACGTTTGTGTTTTTTTTTAGCACTTTTTTTACCAAACAAAATACATTTTTTGGGGGGAGGGGGGTCAAAAAAAGTCCAAAAAGCGCCAGTTTGCTGCGTTTTACCGCGTTTTTCAGTGTTAGAGCGTTTTTACAGCTAAAAAAAGTCCACTAGTCCTAGGTTTTTTTTTTCCAGAATTTACGGAATTCGACCCGTTTATGGCCTGCAATAGTTACAGAAAGACAACATTTCGGAGTCATGCAGGACCCCTTCATCAGGCAGGGCCGGACTGACCATTTGGAAACTCGGTCACTGCCCGAGGGCCCGGGGTCAGTAGGGGGCCCCATGGGATGCCCCTGGTACCTATTTCATAGGCTTTTTTGAGTTTGGGCAAGGACACAGGGGCCCCATGATCCCCTATTGCCCGGGGGCCCCATGAGTTGTCAGTCCGCCCCTGGGCATGGGACCAATCACACGGACACGTCTGAGGAAGGGGTCCTACGTGACTCCGAAACGTTGCCTTTCTGTCCGTTCTGTCGGCTGGAACCGAACAGAATCAGCAAAGTGAGAATGTCATCAGCACACAGAGAATCTCCAATACGGGTCCAAAAGTTTTAATGAACGATCACATAGGCCGGCCATACACAGGTCGATTTCCGAACGATTTTCGTATGAAAATCGGACCTAAGAATAATCGGCCGATTTTCACTCTGTTAGTGGGGCAATGGCACCGGCCGATTTTTGTGGTTCCAACCCATTTTGTTTATCGGGCGTGCTGAAAAATTCTTGAAAAAGGACCGATTCTTGAATTCATTGATGGCACCATCGGATTACAGAACGAACGGCCTTTTTCAATTTACCGATCGAAAAATCATTCAGAATTCGATCCATGTATGGCCTGCAATAGTTACAGAAAGGCAACGTTTTGGAGTCACGCAGGACCCCTTCATCAGGTATGGGACCAATCACACGGACACGTCTGAGGAAGGGGTCCTGCGTGACTCTGAAACGTTGCCTTTCCGTAACTATTGATCGTTCCGTCGGCTGGAACCGAACAGAATCAGCAAAGGGAGAATGTCTCCAGCACACCGAGGATCTCCAATACGGGTCCAAAAAGTTTTCATGAACGATCACATAGGCCGGCCATACATGGGTCGATTTTCGAACGATTTTTGTACGAAAATCGAATCTAAGAATTTTTGCTTTGTTAGTGGGGCAATGATTTTTTGTGGTTCTTCCCCATTTTGTTTATCGGGCGTGCTGGAAAATTCATGAAAAAGGACCGATTTTCAAAATCATTAGTGGTATCGTCGGATTACAGAACGAACGGCTATTTTCAACTTAACGATCGACCCATGTATGGCTTGCAATAGTTACAGAAAGGCAGCGTTTTGGAGTCACGCAGGACCCCTTCATCAGGTATGGGACCAATCACACGGACACGTCTGAGGAAGGGGTCCTGCGTGACTCTGAAACGTTGCCTTTCCGTAACTATTGATCGTTCCGTCGGCTGGAACCGAACAGAATCAGCAAAGGGAGAATGTCTCCAGCACACCGAGGATCTCCAATACGGGTCCAAAAAGTTTTCATGAACGATCACATAGGCCGGCCATACATGGGTCGATTTTCGAACGATTTTTGTACGAAAATCGAATCCAAGAATTTTTGCTTTGTTAGTGGGGCAATGATTTTTGTGGTTCTTCCCCATTTTGTTTATCGGGCGTGCTGGAAAATTCATGAAAAAGGACCGATTTTCAAAATCATTAGTGGTATCGTCGGATTACAGAACGAACGGCTATTTTCAACTTAACGATCGACCCATGTATGGCTTGCAATAGTTACAGAAAGGCAACGTTTTGGAGTCACGCAGGACCCCTTCATCAGGTATGGGACCAATCACACGGGACAGGACACGTCTGAGGAAGGGGTCCTGCGTGACTCCGAAATGTTGTCTTTCCGTAACTATCTGATCGTTCGTTAAACCCTTTGGACCCGTATTGGTGATCCTCGGTGTGCTGGAGACATTCTCCCTTTGCTGATTCTGTTCGGTTCCAGCCGACGGAACGATCACATAGGTCCAAAAGTTTTAATGAACGATCACATTGGCCGACCGTACACATTCGGAATTCGACCCGTGTATGGCGTGCAATAGTTACAGAATGGCAACGTTTCGGAGTCACGCAGGACCCCTTCCTCAGACGTGTCCGTGTGATTGGTCCCATGCCTGATGAAGGGGTCCTGCCAGAAACGTTGCCTTTCTGTAACTATTGCAGGCCATACACGGGTCGAATTCCAAACAATTTTTTGATCGTTAAATTGAAAAAGGCCGTTCGTTCTGTAATCTGATGGTGTCACTGATGATTTAGAAAATCGGTGGTTTTTCACGAATTTTTCAGCACGCCCGATAAACGAACTGGGAAGGAACCACAAAAAACGTCCAGTGTCATTGCCCCACTAACAGAGCGAACATCGGCCGGTGTCATTGCCCCACTAACAGAGTGAACATCGGCCGGTGCCATTGCCCCCACTAACAGAGCGAACATCGGCCAGTGTCATTGCCCCCACTAACAGAGCGAACATCGGCCGGTGCCATTGCCCCCACTAACAGAGCGAACATCGGCCGGTGTCATTGCCCCACTAAGAGAGCGAACATCGGCCGGTGCCATTGCCCCCACTAACAGAGCGAACATCAGCCGGTGTCATTGCCCCCACTAACAGAGCGAACATTGGTCGGTGCGTGCCATTGAGCCCACTGACAGAGCGAACATTGGTCGGTGCCATTGTCCCACTAACAGAGCGAACATCGGCCGGTGCCATTGACCCCACTGACAGAGCGAACATTGGTCGGTGCCATTGCCCCACTAACAGAGCGAACATTGGCCGGTGCCATTGACCCCACTGACAGAGCGAACATTGGTCGGTGCCATTGACCCCACTGACAGAGCGAACATTGGTCGGTGCCATTGACCCCACTGACGGACGAACATTCGGTCGGTGCCATTGTCCCACTAACAGAGCGAAACATCGGCCGGTGCCATTGACCCCACTGACAGAGCGAACATTGGTCGGTGCCATTGACCCCACTGACAGAGCGAATATTGGTCGGTGCCATTGCCCCACTAACAGAGCGAACATTGGCCGGTGCCATTGACCCCACTGACAGAGCGAACATTGGTCGGTGCCATTGACCCCACTGACAGAGCGAACATTGGTCGGTGCCATTGACCCCCCCACTGACAGAGCGAACATTGGTCGGTGCCATTGACCCCACTGACAGAGCGAACATCGGCCGGTGTCATTGCCCCACTAACAGAGCGAACATCAGCCGGTGTCATTGACTCCACTAACAGAGCGAACATTGGTCGGTGCCATTGACCCACTAACAGAGCGAACATTGGTCGGTGTCATTGACCCCACTAACAGAGCGAACATCGGCCGGTGTCATTGACCCCACTAACAGAGCGAACATCGGCCGGTGTCATTGACCCCACTAACAGAGCGAACATCGGCCAGTGTCATTGACCCCACTAACAGAGCGAACATTGGTTGGTGTCATTGCCCCACTAACAGAGCGAACATCGGCCGGTGTCATTGACCCACTAACAGAGCGAACATCAGCCAGTGCCATTGACCCCACTAACAGAGCGAACATCGGCCGGTGTCAATGACCCCACTAACAGAGCGAACATCGGCCAGTGTCATTGCCCCACTAACAGAGCGAAAATCGGCCGATTATTCTTAGCTCCGATTTTCGTACGAAAATCGTTCGGAAATCGACCCGTGTATGGCCGGCCTATGTGATCGTTCATTAAAGCTTTTGGACCCGTATTGGAGATCCTCGGCATGCTGGAGACATTCAGAAGCCCTGGCACATTGTGGTCCCCCCCAAATTCTGCCCTTTTCCATTCCATATTTTTTATCACTTTTTGGAAAAACCGAGAAGCAGCCAATGGGATCGATCGTCCTCGGCAGTGTTTTCTATCGATCTTGCATTGAATTGTTGGGTGTGATGATACGTTTCTCACCTCCGGTGGTGTCACCTCTTACAGAATGACGATGGTGGTCACTGCTGTCTGGTGAACAAATGGAGCACATTCCTGAAAGCCCGGCTGATCTGCTCGGTGCCCGGCCCGTGGACGGCATAGAGA